TAACTCTGGAGGAGCTGCAGAGAACTATAGCTCAGGTGGGAGAATCTGTCCACAGGACAACTATTAGTCGTGTGCTCCTGAAATCTGGCCTTTATGGAAGAGTGGCAAGAAGAAAAAGCCATTGTTGAGTCCCGTTTGCAGTTTGCGAGAAGCCATGTGGAGGACACAGCAAACATGTGGAAGAAGGTGCTCTGGTCAGATGAGACCAAAATTATACTTTTTAGCCTAAAAGCAAAATGCTATGTGTGGTGGAAAACTAACACTGTACATCACCCTGAACACACCATTCACACCGTGAAACGTGGTAGTAGCATCATGTTGTTGGGATGCTTTTCTTCAGCAAGGACAGGGAAGCTGGTCAGAGTTGATAGAAATATGGATGGAGCCAAATACAGGGCAATCTTAGAAGAAAACCTGTTTGAATCTACAAAAGACTTGAGACTGGGGAGGAAATTCACCTTCCAGCAGGATAATTATGCTAAACATACAGCTAGAGCTACAATGGAATGGTTTAGATCAAAGCATATTCATGTGTTAGAATGGCCCAGTCAAAGTCCAGACCTAAATCCAATTGAGAATCTGTGCCAAGACTTGAAAATTGCTGTTTAGAGACGCTCTCCATCCAATCTGACAGAGCTTGAGCTACAGTGCCTTGAAAAAGTATTCAAACCTCTTGAAATTTTCCACATTTTGTCATGTTACAACCAAAAATGTGAATGTATTTTATTGGGATTTTATATGATAGACCAACACAAACACAAACTTGTGAAGTGGAAGGAAAATAATAAATGGTTTTAATTTAAAGTCTCTAGATGTGCAAAGCTGGCAGAGACATCCCCAAAAAGACTTACAGCTGTAATGCAGCAAAAGGTGGTTCTACAAAGTATTGACTCAGGGGGGCTGAATACAAATGCACGCACACTCTTTAGATATTTATTTGTAAACAAAAAACATTTATCATTCCATAACCTCCCACTTCACAATGATGTGCTACTTTGTGTTGGTCTATCACATAAAATCCCAATAAAATACATTTATGTTTCTGGTAGTAAAATGACAAAATGTTCAAGGGGTAGGAATATTTTTTCAAGGCACTGTATATTCCAGGTGTAATAAAACAAAAGGTGATCAAGTCTTATAGGTCCCTTTTTTTTTTTTTTTTTTTTTTACTCCTGTCCCCTGCCAGCATGGTGCACACAAGGAACCTCACTCTCTATTCTGCTGCAGAAGGATCTTTACTTGGAAACAGGGGTCTCTCTGCAGAGGTCCAGCATTCCCCCTGCTAATTCAGAGCTAGAGCTCTACAAATAACCAATGCACATGGACCCTAATAACTGGTGAACTCATCCCATGCCGAGTCAGAGCTCTCCATTTAGTGCTGCTGATTTGTGGAGCCCCAGCTCAGACTCAGCAGGGAGCAGCAAAGAGATCAGTGGTTTTACAGAGTCAGTCCTGGTTCACACTGATGTGGTGCAGAATTCGCAGCGTTTTCAGTAAGAATTCCGCACCACATCACAATCGCACCCCGTTCATACGAACCGATGCGGGTGTGCATGTTAACAACACCCCGACATCGGTCCGCAAAACGTGGTGTGATGTGCAGAATCAGATCGCATAGGTGTGAATAAGATTCAGAATCCGATTCCAAAAAAGGGTCCTGCGCATTCTTGGTGCGGGTGCGAATAGAGCCATACAAAATGTATGGCTCTGATCGCACCGCATACAAATTGCATGTGATTTGTACAGGAATGTGGTGAGATTCCTGTGCGAATCACATGGGATTTACCGCTGTTGTGTGAACCTAGGGTAAAGGGTCTTCTGTACAGCATACAGGAAGGGGTCTGGAAGGCTTTGCACACCTTTGTTTTGGAATATGTATATATGGTAGCACAGGTCTTAAAATTTCAAGTCCTGAGCTACTAGCAGGCCTTAAGTGTTACTCACCACCAGTTGCCTCACCCAACCCCTACCCTGCTACACCCCTAATTCCGCCCCTAAACACACCCTCATAAATTCTCATTAAATGACACTGTTAAATGTTTTATGCAGAATACAGTTACAGAAATAAATATATACCCTCCTTCACCCCCCATTCCCCCATAGCCATGTCCTCTACCCCCTTTTAAAAAAAAAAAGAAAGGGGAGTGAGAGAGAGAGAGGGGGGGTGAGAAAAAGAGGGGGGAAGGGGGGCAAAAAAGGGGGGCGATTGGTATTTCTGCTAATTATGGCACCATTCCCCCCAAATTTGAGATTATAATGAGCACACAAACCCCCTCTTAGAACACATGGTCTCCATTATGGTACAATGCGCCGCCCCCCAGAACACACACAGGGCCCCCTACTACATAAAGTGAATACAGAGCCCCCACCACCACCACATACAGACAGACACACACACGTCTCTCCATCTGGCTCTCTCAGCCTGTCACACTCCGTTTCTAAGCACTCCTGTCACAGACATTTCTCCACCTTCCTCCTGTTGTTACATGCTGAGTTCTCACCAGTCTGTGGATTCTCCTCCTCCTTGGGCTCTGTCAGTCACTCTCTCCTCTCACTGGAAAAGACTCGTAGCACGCTTGCACAACCCACCCTGTGGCCCCTCCCCATCCTTTCAGGAGCCTGTCATAGGACCTCCTAAGGACTCTGGGCCCTTGGGTAGTGTGTGAGTGCTTAATGCCTGAAAGCTTATTCCGCCTCTGGTGCCGGCGCCCTGCTCCATATCCATCAGCTGTTTGATCGATCTGGCCCTTGCCCCCATATTATTTCCACTCCCGAAATGCGAGTAGGCGAGTGGAAATTTCAAGGCCTGTGGTAACACATATAAAGTGGATGTAAAGTCAATTTGTATGTTTTACCTACAGGTAAGCCTTTAATAAGGTTTACTTTTACTTTTTTTTACTTTTGCAGCGCTGGTCATTTCACAGATGCATGCGCACTGTGAGAGAGCCTTGCAGCGGGCAAAACTCTCGCACGCATACGCATGAGTGTCATCATCGCGACTCAGCCAGTCAAACGGCCGCAGCCCCGGAACCCGGAAGGAAGACCAGGTGAAAATGGAAGGCTCAGGGAGCCGTGACAATGCTCCGCTGGAGGGCTTCATTTTCAGGTAAGTCTTTCATAATGTGCTAGTATGCAATGTATACTAGCATATTATGCTCTTAACTTGATTTCTGGTGGTTTGCTATGGCTTTACAGTACATCAAAAAACAAAACCTTTTTTCAGTTACGGCAATGGATAAGAACACCGGTTTTTATTGCTGTCTGTGCCCTTTTGGGATATTCACCCTATTTGTCCTGTTTACCGTTATAATTGAAAGTGAAAGAAACCCCAAATTTTGTGTTGTCCCCAGAAAAGTAATATTTCCAATGGGGACACTAGTTCTGGCAACCTGTGGAACCCCAGGGAATTCCCTTAATTTGCATTGATTCCTCTCACTTCCTGTTTTGGCTATGGCACAGGAAGTAAAGGGAAATCTCCCTAATGGGACACAGATGATACAAAATAAATTGACAGGGGTTATGACCCATCCTTACTCTGTCCAAAATGAAAAAAATATTTTGCCTAGTTCTACTTTAAACTAAAAGTTTTGCTTTAGGGAATGTGGTTTGTATTGTTTACAATTTGATTGTACCTTTTCTTTATCTACCCCATGATATGCTATTATTTGCTGCTATGGGCAACACAGCCCATTATTCCCCCCTTCAGTAGCCCAAACATGTTTCAGGAATTAAAGTGGACTTTGAGGTATTAATGTGGAGGATGCTATGGAGCTATTTTTAAACATACAAAACATGGTGCTCTGATTTAGAAGTATATGACATAGGAGCTCAGACATACAGTATATCAGGCTCCATTAGCTGCATGTTTTTAGGTCATTTATTTATGATGTAGTGATAACTCTGAAGTCTGCATGTTTAAAATAAAGTCAGCAATGCCTTATTCCATATTTCTGTCTTCACAGATTCACTTTAAAAAAAAAAAAAAGTATACATTCTCAATGATTCATCAAAAAACAAAAAACGTAAATAAAAAACATTTTAAAGGAAGGGCTATGTAAATTTCAGCAATCAATTAAAAAAAGCGGACACATTATCAAGTAGTTTTTGTCAAAGGCTGTGAACATTACTGTGCAGCCACAAAGTGTCACCCAAGCCATTTCTAAGTGTCCAGAATTATTCAATAGGCTACTAATAAATAGCAGTGTGATCAATTCATGTTTAACAGGATGAATGTTCACATTTCATATATCACATTATAAATAAATATGCAGTGGAATTGCATGTTTAGAGAAACGTAGAGTGGCAAGATTATTATACACATGATCACATGAGAAAGGAAATGACACATTCTAAAGATGGAAAGAAGTGACAATAAAAAACACATTCTGTATAAGTTTTGCACATGTTACAATCATGTTTCAGTAAGGCGTATGCATTTGTTTCTGTATCTGAAGCCCAGTGCAGGAACGGGATGTAAAACGGAGTCCCAACTGCACAATGCAACTGAAAGAGCAGGTCCTCAGCCTCCATCCTTCTTCACGAAAGGAAAAAAAAACGCTCCTTCATAGTTATGATTTAGGTTAGTGAGTACCATTTGCATTTAAATGATACTGACAATTCTTCTTGATCAAACACTGAAAATCGTGTGTTGTGGCAGGGAAGAAACAAAGCAAAATAACAACAAAAAAAAAAAAGTCAATACTAGTCCCATAAAAATCATGGTCCACTAGTGAGTATACCTCTAACAGAGAGGTCACTTATGTCCTCCATTCCCTTACTTCATATCAGGAGCCCACAACACCCGGAGCTCTGGAAAATGCCTTATGGCAAATGGAGTGGTAAAAGAAAATAAAGATCACCCTTGACTTAAACCTCTGCAGTAATATAAACGGGCAATATGCCATCACCTTCTCCTTAGTATAACTGATTCCCTTTGGAAATATATCATCATTTAATGATTACTGAAGTTAAAAATAAAAAAAATCTAAAAATTAATTAAATTATACAGTCTGTGAAAACGTCCGTGATTTTCCTTCAGAACCCCTTTTTGTCAGGAAACTGTAAAGATGGGGCAGCCTAAATTTGTCCATATTCTTACTGTAGACATTTAAGAAAATTCCAAGTACAACTAACAGTCCCGACCATACATACCTAAAAAAAGAGAAAACAAAACACAGGGTTTCAGTTACATATGTTAATTATACTTTAATCTACAATAAAGATGATCATATTTGCTTGCTCCTTTCTAGGATTCTGACATTTCCCAGGGCAGCAAAAGATACTATATGCTCTTCAAAATCAATTAGAAGAAGGGAGAAGCATCAGCACACACGGTACTATAAGCCAAGTGTTTGTGTTTTTTGAATACATTGCTATGACAGTATTCCTGCCCTTGGATAGAAGAATAGCTTAAAGTGTATGTAAATCCTAACAACAAATATCGCAGATTTGCTTCCTTTTGGTCTGATAAATATGCCACTAAAGGAGTGTAATGCCTATGAAATATGTTGGCCTTGGACCCTTTGTTTCTTGGGTAATTTTTACAATAAAGCATCGTTGCCCAGATGCCAGGAGTATGAGAAGTGACTGATGTCATTTCTCTAGGCTAAAGGAACAGAGTAACCATCAAATCACAAGACATTAGACTGCTTATACAAGATAAGAACTTGTTTGTGGGATTGAACGTGTTTGACATCTAAGAATGTCACAGAAGATAAGAACCTGTTTAAAGATGTCTACTTGCTTGAGAAGTTAGAAGTCTTTAAGTTTAGGGTAGATGACAAGAAGTTTAGGGTAGATAAGAAGCCGATCTGAAGCACAAGTGTGACTTTTTAGATAACGATGTTGATTCAATATGGTGGCTGGTCATGACTCTGTTATCCTCAAGGAACCTTTCTGCTAGCTCCTAATAGAGTGGGTGTGGCGCCCATCCACTTCTGGAAAGCTGCCAGGAAAATAGTTTAAAAGCCGGGAGTTTTAAAACAGGATTGATGGGGAGCCTCCTACTGACAGAGGACGCTCTGACGCTGGGACTCTTGTCAAGGCTATGTGGGCTCATCGATTGATCGCGTTTACGGCTTCTCCGTGACCCCCTATATAGTATGGTTCCGATAGGATCTGTTCCTTCCCGCCTTCACATAGCTTTGGTAATGTATTAATTCTATGCTGTGACGCTGTCAAATAATGTGTTTATTTCATACTGTAATGCTCACATTATTATTGGCGTGTGTTATTATGCAGATTGTGAGGACTATAAGATATATCCTCCTGTGTGTCATGTGATAATAAAAGTGGAGGTTTTGACAGTGCAAGAATATTGCAGTTGGATTCTGTTATTTCTTGGAGTACAGGGTGAATGCTGTGATGTGCCACGTCAGGAGTTTGTTTGGTAGAGTCTTTCACATGCATAGAATATGTAATGGTGTAAATGCTGGTTAAAAGTACCTGTGTGTGACTACCTGTCGATTGTGTGTGTGTGTATATGACTTGCTTTTAGTTATTGCACCCAGCATTACCATTACAAGGAGTTTTGTTAGATTTGTTCAATAAAAAAAAAAAAAAAAACAGTTGATCAAGTCAGAAATAGCCATCTTGTGAACACTTTCTGTGTTATCTCAAGGAGTCTAATTAGCCTTTCTAGATCTTATCTTGAATCTGCAGATTAATTAGTGCCTGTTGTGGGAATGGGAGAATGGGTGGGTTTGAGTAATTTAGAAAAGAAAAGCTTGGAAGGGCTGAAGCCATTTGGTCCACAAAATTGCTCTGTGTTGTCAGCTCACAACTAGTCTTAAACTGGGTACACACGATCTGAATATTGGCAAGTTCAGCAGGAACCGGACGACATTTGGACCATGTGTACAGTTATCTCTCCAACAGAAGCTGGTCTAAGGACCGGCTTTTGTCAAAAGGAACATGCTGGAAAACCAGCATCTGATCAGCACTCACAGCCACTGGCTGATTAGTGTGTTCTGGCAGGGGGGATAGGGGAGAGAAGAGTCAAACTGTCAGTACATAAAGGCATAGTGGGAGAGATCACTGTACTAATATCTCCTGGATGTTGAACGAAACCTGCTGGGTTGAACAAAAAAAAAAAAATAGGATTGTGTGTACCAGGCCTAAATACCTGAGTGCATTTCTGGTAGAGCAAAAGATCATCAGCGTTATGTTGTCCCTGTGTGACAGATTTGTGTACCTGCAGTGTGACTAGGCAGTGAAGACTTAAGGATCAGATTGTACTGGGCAAAGTATGTAAATTCTGGACCGGCACAGACTTGTATTATTTGTGTGTGAGGAGAGGCTACCCTTTACAACACAGAGCCTTGCAACTCAATTCTTTGGATTTCTTTGCATTTCCACACATTATGAAGAATGGTCTTAAAATACACCTGCACTAAAATATATGTGCTGGTTGACATTTCTGATCTCCTTATGAAAATGCTAAATTGCATGTCTGTCTCTGATTTTTATCTATATAACCTACTCATATGGAACCCTAAACTCTAAGTGCATACATGTTCTGGGTCATGGGCTCAAGCTATAGAAACCACTGGTTTAGCAAAAGCAGCCAGACAGTATTTTTTAGGAGACACCAGCAATGAAAGCCAATACAGTTACATCTTTATAGGTTTGCTATAGACTATGCCTTTTGCCACATCTCAGTGCTGGCCACTGACAGGGGGTTAGAGAAACACACACGCTTGTGACCTTCCACATTGTTTGGGTCCATCAGTGCATTTAGGTAATGAACCTTGAATTACTACACTTTATAAGCATGCCTTGGGCAACTGTGTGATCCTTTAGACTGCAAGCTAACAAAATATAAAGGACATGATCATCTGGGTCAGAAAAGTATTTCTGAAAGTCACTGAGATCATCAATTTGCCCAGCTTTTTGAAGACTGCAATCCTAAAGAACAATGAATGGACAAGAACACAGCACATCTCATTAAACTGTCTATGCTGGGTTTGCCTTTTCTGGGAAAATATGGAAGCTGGCTTTGCTGAGTAAATGCAGGAGATGTCAGGTTGTCTAACAACAGACAAACACATAGGTTACCTACTATGGCAAAACTTCAAAAGTATATGTAGGGACTAGGGAACATCTTTCCTAGACTGTCAGTGACTAGATAATGGTCTGGCCTCATCAATCTTGCTTCCAACTATATTTCCAGAATGGGAGACCCAGAGCAAGGCATTAAGCCTTTAGAATGAGCTTAAATGTAGAAGTGACCATCCAGTCTTCCCCCTTGGCCAGCGCTAGCACACTGCTAGAGTGACTGCCACATTCTATTTTTATGGTTAAGAGGAATAATGGCTCATGTCAACAAGTGTTACTTTCCTGTGTTTGAAACGGCAAAATCCCACTGATTTTAATTTAGCAGTACACATGACAGTTCAGAGGCTGTGCTTGACCTGCTTTATGCTGTCCTGTATTTATTGGATTGCAGCATGTCCTATTAAGATGCGTCTGAACCAAATGCATCCTTTTCTTGTTAAATGACGCATTTTCCGTTTAAATACAGCTGCTGATGTTTAAAAGGAAAATGCAGCATTTTACTAGAACACCCAGTGACATCAGACCTCATAGATATATAATTTATTACAGCAGTAAACAGGGTTAAAAAAGGCCAGAAAGCATTTCAGAATTCTGTAAATCTGGCCATAGACAAAGCGATTTTCTTTCCTGCAACCACGCATTGCAGGAAAAAAAATCTCTTGATTTCATCAACACAGTCAATGTTGATGGGGGAATCCCTCCCATAGAGCCACCGTGTTCTCCCAACAGGGGGTGGGGGGAGCTGTCCCCCTCAGGAGAACACAATGATTACTGCTAGTGGTTATAATAGCCGCTAACTATAATCGCATATAAAATCCAGCAGGCTGATTGTAACCAAGTCGATCGATTGATGAACTTTGGTACATTCAGCCTACCCATACATGGTTCGAATCAGTCTATGACCGGCTTTAGTGACAACATTCTCTCTTTCTTTTACAAATATTCTTCTTTCCTAAACAGTTATCTTGTATTTCATGAGCAAAAATTATTAATATCAAGGGCTGACAATAAGCAGACACGAACACACACGAACACACAAAGACACCAAAATTATTTTCTTATAAACTTTAAAAAAAAGATGCAAATATGTTACTTACTGCAAGGTAAAGGGTTTTGCAAAGAATAAAAAGGATAACACAATAGTCATTGCCTTCCTCCCAGTTGTTACTGTGGAATTGAATAGAACATGTATTAAAGAAGAAATAAATGATAAAATCCATATACAAATCCATCTTATTTTACTAATATTTCAACATTTCTCTCTTAGCATTCCAACATTTCAGTCTTCCTAATATCAGTGTGCTGTGTTTACCAATGATGCAAGAATAATTAAACCTTAAATGTATTGAAATTCAACTGAGACAATAAAGTCAAGTACAAAAAAAAAAAAAAAAAAGTGTTCTTTCCATTTGCTTGCATTATATGATACTTTCTACTTATTTTATCTACCTAATTTGAAAAAATATTTATAGTATAGGTGAGCTGAATATACAGAAGGTCTGTTTTTTTTTACTCTTGTTGTATTTTCTGTGTAAAATTCAAAAGTATGAAATTACTGCACATACTATAATCCTTTAAAATTATCAGCCTTTTGTTGGAATTAAATGTGACGTTCTATAGGGTCTCGATTTAGATGGAGATAAAACAAGGATTTACAAGATACCAATTCATGAGGAATTCGGGCTAACAGTGGTTAAAGCTGAACTCCAGGATATTATCATAATTTTCCCAATGCTTCCCTTCAGTGAAACTGAATAGTATTTGTTTTACTCACTCACTTATATTCTGAGAAATTGTCTACTGAAAAGTTCATGATGTCATCACTGTTAGTTGAAAAGTGCAGCAATGCTTGGCCATTAGGAGGAGGTATCAGCCAGGGGCTTACATCACATCCTATTACATTTGCACAACCTGGCAATCTACTAAGGCAGATGTGGATGGGTGGGAGACACACAAGGACAACTTGCCTAATGGAAAAAACTGACACCCGAAGACTCTTCAGAAACCCCCTGGTTCCCTGCTATGCTTAGTGGTTTCTATCACCAATCTCTACTCAGGATCCAGTAGTGACATAAGGATCAGCAGGGGGAACCATTGAACACAATGGGAGATCAAGAGGTTTCTGAAGTCTTCAGACTGCAGGTTCTCTTTACTACAGCAGAGTGGAGACCTATTATTCTTGGTATTAGAGTCACTGTAATCAACACTTTCATGCTTATTCAATATTTATCTCCATGAATTGACCACTTTCAGAAGAAACTGAAACACTATTAAAGCCTAACTTCAACCCTTTAGGGCTCATTCACACCTGCAGCAGTCTCTATCACCCCTCTGAAAAGCAAGAATTTGTGGTGGATCACTTTTACAGGGTGGAAGAGCAACAGCTGGCAGGCATTAAGAAGAAGATGCTTCAGCTCCTGAAAGCCCTATTTTGACATTCAAACATGGAATGTCTATGTAAATACCATGCTGCAATCGTAAGTCAATTGTTTGGCTCTCTGTTGCAGCGCAGTCCCATTCAATGTGTCACATTTGGCTACAGCACAGGTGTCAAACCAGCGGCCCTCCAGCTGTTGCCAAACTACAAGTCCCATGTGGCATTGCAAGACTGACAGTTACAAGCATGACTCCCAAAGGTAGAGGAATGATGGAACTAGTAGTTTCGCAACAGCTGGAGGGCCGTCAGTTTGACACCCCTGGGCAACTGTAATGCCTGCTGGGGGTGCTGTACTTTCAGGTAGGTGGTTGGGGGAAATGGTAAAACTGTGGCTCAATTACCATTTTTTACCACCCTCTGGCTGCTTGTATGAACAAGCCCTTCATTTTTTAAAAATTATGGATAGAGCGGGAAAGATTTAAAAATTGTCAGGTTTTTTCTTTTTGCCTGTGACCCCCTTCATTAGGGAGATATACCCCTCACTTCTGTCTCCATTGAACCTGTACAAGGTAGAGACAGTGATGTTGTCATTGGGTATATCACATCCTTAATTTTAATCACTCTTACAGTGTTGCTATAAAGCTATAGAAATAAATCCCTGACTACAGTAGAAAATGTAAAGGTACCAAGAAAAAAAAAAAAGCTAAAAATGAGCACCTCCACTCTTTAGCCAGCCTGCAACCAGCTTTAGTGATATGTCAATCTGAATGGAACAAGCTGAGCTGCTAATGTAAGAAGCTTCAGTTTCATAGACAAGAGAGCTCATTAGAATTTGGAACAGAGGAAGCTGCAGAGTGGGGTTTTCCTATTACTTGTTGTGTAACATGTATTTGCACAACCATATAGCTGCTCTTCTGCTCCACATGGTGATGCTGTCAATTGTTTAGGCTGCACTGTCTTAAAAAAAAAAAAAGAAAAAAAAAAAAAAACCTTAATCAGTACAGCAGCTACATGTTAAAAAGTATAATTGTCCTTATGCTGTAAATAAGCCCTCAGTTTCTACAAACTGGTTACCTGTCACAGCAATCAGAGCTCCAAAGATCTTAATCAATGCAAGCACAAAAGATATTCCAAAATATCCAGTCAGCGAGAAAAAGAAAGCATATCCATACGTCTGAAATGGATACTAAAACACAAGAGGTTCAGATTAGGAGATGCTGCTTCAGTACATACACGCACACACATATTTTCACACACACTAAAATTTATACAAAATTATATTCTAGATGCTTAAGGGCATATTTGGAAAATAGTGGATGTGACTTTCACCAAACATTCTCTGCTGATGAATCAAACACTATCTAACCCTAGGTTCACACCTAAGCGTTTTCTGCAGCGTTTTGCAGAAACGCAGTACAGTCCATTTAACATGATTTCCTATGAGACATGTTTAAATCTGTGCGTTTTCACCCGGTGCATTTTTTGGAAAGGGTCAGGGACTTTTTTGAACGCAAAAAGTTGCGTTTTTGGTTCTATAGACTTCAATGGAAAAGCTGCAGAAAAGAATGTATTGCGTTTTTACGTTTTAAATCTGCCTAGCAACAAGGAAACAAAAAAAAAAAAAACGCAGCAAAAACACAAGTGCAAAAAACGCAATGCAGAAATGGCTCATACACAACCTGCATAGGTATGAACCTAGCCTAAATGAGGACATAGCAGCACAAGGGATACATCTAACTGAAGGGAAGTAAAGCCCTTTGTGCTTGTTCTGTATTTTTTATTTTTTTTTTAACAAAACTTGGGCTTTAAAAATTGCAGACTGACAAGAACAAGTCATTTTGACAACCAGAAAGACAATACTTCCTAATCCAAAATGTTACTTGCTATTTAAAATACTACCAAATGCCTACACAGTATAACTGCATTTTCACTTTGTCTGTAACCTGTCATTTGCACACAGTAGATGATTTTAGGATATAGCTGAAGGTAAGACACACCTTATAAAATGTACATTGTAACATATTAAAAAATAAAAGATGACCTTAAATAAACAAAGACATTACGTAAATATATATAAAGCCTGTGATGAATTAATTCTGAATATATAAAACATGCCATTACAATGTTTTTCATACAGAAGGAAAAATTATTTTTGAAGTGTGTGCATGTCTTGTGGCTGGAAGGCAGTGCCTATTCAGCAGCCACTCCATAACACGACATGTATATTTTATGCTTTCATGCACTACTGCCTTGCATTAATACAGTTCTCAGCTGTATACTAGTCATTTCCTATTTTTAATCAAGCTGCTCTGTTTCAGCACTCACCTTGGAACAGAAGGCTATGGCAGGAGTTAATCCACTTGTAATGGCCAAACCCAGTAAAATGTAAACAAATCCTATGGAATATGAATACAGAACCTGAAAAATTAAACACTCATTTGAAAAAGGTAATAGAGATTGCAAACGCTGTTCACAGAGGCCTGAAATCTAACACAAAACTATTTTTACATAGTGCTCTCCAGAATATGAAAGTATATTTGCATATAAGGGTTACTTTGATTATGCAGTAGGAAAAAAAAAAAGGTTGTTACAAGAACATATACAAGCACAGGGCCCCAGAGGAAATATATACTCCAAAGACCCCTTTCTCATTTACAAAGACCTTAAAAAAGCATTACATGTTTGACATTTGGTGTAAAAAGGAGTGAAAAATTATGTTTTGTATATTTAGATACATATTTATTTTTTATTTAATAGCAATCCAGTCATCAGCACACACATATACGCACTGCACTGCTTTACATTACAGCACATGCATTGTGTTTGGCCCTACTAGCAGTGCAAATTCCTATGCCACAGTTCATTTACAAAATCTATTTTGAGTAATGCTTTTTAAGTGAATCACAGGTATTAATAATAATGAGAAAACCAGACAAAGTACAGTTTGCCTGATGTTTGACAAACCCGCAGGGAAGTTTGAGAGTCTCAAACATAGCAGTGAATCCCACTGAAATATTTTTTTTTTTTTTTAAACCACAGCCATAGGTAGCAGAGCACGCCATGAGGGTCAATGTAAAAAAAGTTTTACAAAATGCACTTCAGTACGAAGAGGGTCTTTTAATGCAGCTTAAAGGACAACAGTAAAAATACACAAATCCTTTAAATACTATACTTGGGGGATGCCTTAACCCTTTGAGGACCGTAAGATTTTGGAACGCCAAAAGAATAAATTTTTTGTTTTTAAAGTTCATATACTTCAGTTGCTGTAACTAAACCATTTCATGAAATAATTGGCAAAAAGCTAGATCCTCTTTTTGCCAAGAACTAATATTTTGACTCAAACCAAAATAAAAAAAATATATTTTAAGTTCTTAATCAGATGATACAGGCAATTAAAAACATGAGACAAATACGTCCCTTGGTCCTCAAAGGGTTAACCACTTCCCACCTCTCATCCCTCTAGGAGGGCGTCATATGATGTCCTTCCCGGATGGCGCCTTGCACGTGCCCGCAGCGCCGTTCTGTGGCGAGATCTGTCATCAGATGTGCACCTCAGACATGGCCGATGACAGATCTGTGTATCGGCCCCGTTGCCAGTACCATGTGACCTGCTGTGACCAATCACAGCAGGTCACATGACAGTTGTAAACAATGGATGGCTTCATTCATGCCATCCATTGTATACAAGTGTGTTTAGCTGTGAATGGTCACAGTGACACACACACACAGGCTGGGCCAATCACAGCCCATCCGTGTCATGTGATTATCTGTGGCAGCTAATAAGAACAAAAAACTTGAATGAATCAATTTCATTCAGTTAAATGCTTGCTTATAGCAAATAAATTCTCTGCTATAAGCAATCAAATTGTGTAAAAAGAAAAAATACTAATCACTTCCCCAAAGTAGTACAATGTTACTATGGTAACATTATACTACTTTGGTCATAGCGTAATATGAAAAAAAAAAAAAATCTTTAAAAAAAAAAAAAAAATGGAGAAAAAAAATTTAATATGTAGCCTGGATAGTCAGAAAAGCGGGAAGAGGGCATGTGTCCTCCCACTTCTGAACCAGACCAGGCTACATGCCTTCAAAAAACAACACCAAAAAATAAAAAACAATATTCCCTGTTATAAATCTAATATCAATAACAATGTCCAGTGATTTAGATTCTTGTCAATCATGATGAGTTGCTGCCCGACGAGGTTTACCCGTTGCACCACCGCCACAAAAATGACAGATCCCTGGCTAGCTGTTCTATGTAAACAAACTAGACAGGAATGCTGGATGACATCATTGACCAACTAAGGTCATGACCATAGTTGGTCAATGACGTCATCCAGGATCCCCAGATGATCTATTTACAAACACAAGATAGTCAGGGATCTGTCATTTTGCGGCAGTAGTGCTATCACTGTAAAAGGACAGGTTTACAGCTGCTGTATAAACACAAACAATAGCCTAGAAGTCAAGCGGGGTGAAATTGGCCAAATATGCCATCCCACCTACAGAGCAGTCAAAAAGTATTCATCCTTAGAATACTTAGGGATTATATATGGAAAAAAGTGTGCTAAAAAGAAAATGTCCTGCTGATCTTGGCAAACGAGTTACCTCCAACTGTAATTTATAACATTTCCGTTATTCAAAGTCATTAATGCAGCATGCATTATTTTTGCAGCAAGCTGGTATGAACAGTTCTTTAGTCTTCAAACTGGTCCCTATGAAACCCTTGGATAATAGGTCGAGATTATACATGGGGTTCCAACGAATGCTGACACTAAGCCCCATCCATCCTGATAACAGATCTTACCACCTCTCCTAAAACTAACAAATACTAACATTTTGGTGGGCATTAAACGCTCTGGCATTTCACAGATGAATGGCAGAGGGCATGGCTTAATTTTGATTTGTGCACAAGTTGAGATCCCATGTTTAGCCTGGGATTGTAATCAAAAGACAACAAGGACAGGCACCTCATGAGTAGCAGCACTGCAAAACTGTTGTTATCCTAGAAACACCTTAGAAGAGATCAGGTTCATGCGAAGCCTTTTATACACTCTGTATCTCCACTAACATTTCAGTGTAGTGTGATTAAAAGCTACAAATTACACAAAAGCTACATATTTTTGATAAGCTTGATTCCCTCATTGCTAACATCTTTCAGTCTTACACTGCACCACTAAATATCATTTGCCTTGGTGGAAAGGACTTTCAAAGGTTTAATTGCTCAAGTCAATGAAAATTCTTCCAACAAATGTACAAGTAAGAGGCAAAAGCAGAACTTTCAGAATAGTGCATTTTTAAAGGTACATTTGAATTTAATGAACGGCAAGATTTTCTGCCAACCATAGCATGGTGTCTTGTCTAGCCAGGAATTACTGAGAATGTTGGAGTAAATACAGCCTTCTGGACATAAAATATCATCTCAAAAGGGGTATATTTATAAAGATGTGAATCGGTCATTCACTGCAAATGAATCTTCCAGGTGTCTGTTTAAAATGACTGATTGATTCACCAAAAATCACACTCAATGCCTTATAAATATGTCCTAAAGTGATGCATTAGCATTATTTTTAGGTGAAAACTGGGGTATAAGGGTCAATATAAAGTACCCATTTCCTGGGTTTCCTTTAACTCTGGAGGTTTCAGATACTTCAATTTTTGGAGAATGACAGTTGTTTTTAACAGGTTCCTATATCTGTACAACCCCCCACCCATTCCAAGATCCCATTGCTAGATTTTCAGAGTGTGTTTGTTTCCAGGTTTTTCACTGGAGCAAACTTTCTGAAGCCTGGTAATACTGATTTGTACTCCCTATTGTTCATTATTAAAACACCTCCATAACAGCATATTACATTACATTCCTTTCTAGGTCATTTTTCAGTGATGCAATTGACTAACAGCAGCACTGAATTTTAAAGTATTTGTTTGACATTTTTTTTGGTGGCATTTAAAGAAGAAGAACGTTGGTCCCCTTTAAATCTGGCAACCCCCCCACTCCTCAAACCTCAGTATCTTTGTAAGCCTTCCATCTGTGCATATGTGCCAAACAGCTCTGTCCAGCCTTTGGGTTCGGGCAGAGCCCTGTGGCATATCTGCGCAAGCACAGGCTTGAGGAGTGGGATTCAATTCTGTGCATGCACAGACACCATGATAGTTGATGCTTCCATACCAGTGAGTGCACAGATGTCATCTTGCCTAGATGAGAAATACGGAAGAACTGCATTGCATCACAAAAACCTTATAAAGTAAAATAATATTATTATTCAAATGTGAGAGAAAAAGATAGAGGAGACGGCAGGGGACAGCAAGGTTCAGGTTCTCCAACATAAACAGTGCTGTTTACATTTATGATCACTGATTTGCCATCACAGCAGTCAAGGTACAGAGGTACTCTGATCAGCTCTGTGCTATATGCCTATACTCTATGCCACATATGTCAAACACAAGGCCCATGGGCCGAATCCGGCCTTCCATGCCGTTTCATTAGCCCTTGCACCTCTCCTGCAGCAACCCCTTCATCTATGCCCTCACCTTGCCTTAGCAGAAAAAAACGACAAAACTAAAACTGCTCCAGATCCTGTGCTTCTCCGTGCAGCTGCAGAGAGGCTCATCTCTGCACCTCCCTATCTCAGCAGTTGGCAGAACTCCTCCTACAGATCCTTCGCCTCTCTATGAAGCTGCAGCACCCCCCTCGTCACTGCCCCCCTTGGTCACAGAAGTCAGCAGATTCTGGCAGATGACTCCAGCTCTCATCTGGCCATCCTCCGGACCTGGCACTTTCTGCTTCCCAGCTTCTTCCAGGCAGCAGCACAAGGTAAGAGGATTACACTGTGATGTGAGATAGAGTGGGGAACTCTTGACTTTTGATGGTGGGTGGGGGGATAGGGATCTGATTATAATTACTACAAGAATAATACAACTCTATGCCAGTTGAAAAAGAGGGTCGCACACTGCAGATCTCATCCACAAGAAACTTAATTGGGGACTGCTCAGTCAGAACACCATGGCAGAACCACGTTCTGTCTGAGCAGTCTCCAATAGAGGTTCTTGTGAATAATACCAGTGGTGTGCGACCCTCCATTTCAGACTTGCATCATCTGCTACAGGAGTGTGAGTGGGCTCAGTGCCGGTCTCCACCTGCCATTCACAGCTTAAGTCTTAAGTTGTTACTAAAACCAGTAATAATCAAATCCAGAGGCAATTATTTATGATGAAAGAGAGAAGATACATTTATACAGTCTTAAAAGATATAACTGACCCTTTGAGGACAACCATAACACTGTTGCGGCCTGCAATGAAATAGAGTTTGACACCCCTGTTCTATGCTGTCTAATAACAGCAAGGGGCAGCATTGTGCACAACAGGGAATGTGCACCATCGTAAACTAAAAGGTTCTTTTTAAATTGCTTGTCACAACAACTGCTCCCCTAGTGGCTGTTTACAACTATGACCAGAAGTGGGATGGTTGATATAGCTGAATAAGTCAAAAATCCAGATGCAAGAACGAAACATCCTTGTAGCTGCACCAGCAGTTAAATGTGCTCAGGACCCATGTATCTCATGGTTACCAACCTTAGGATATACAAGAGGCTGCTGCAATTTCAACCTGGTGACAACCGCATAAATCTGAAATATGTATTTTATGCAACTTCACCTTTATACAATACTCAAAAAAATTAAAGGAACACTTTGAAAACACATCAAAAAGCAATGGGGGAAAAATATCATGCTGGATATCTACACTGATCTGGACTGGGTAATGTGTTAGGAACGTAAGGATGCCCCATCGTTTGATGGAAATGAAAACTATCAACCTACAGAGGACTGAATTCAAAGCCCCCCCACCCAAAAATGAAAAAATATGCAGCAGGATAGTCCATTTTGCTGAAATTTCATTGCAGCAACCCAAAACGGTATTCAGTAGTTTGTATGGCCCCCACGTGCTTGTATGCATACCTGACAATGTCGGGACATGCTCCTAATGAGACAACAGATGATGTCCTGGGGTATTTCCTCCCAGATCTGGACAAGGGCATCACTGAGCTCGTGGACAGTCTGAGGTGCAACCTGGCAGCGTCAGATGGACCGAAACATGATATCCCAGAGGTGTTCTATTGGATTTAGGTCAGGCGAGCGTGAGAGCCATTCAATGATATCAATTCCTTCATCCTCCAGGAACTGAATGTATACTCTCGCCACATGAGGCCGGGCATTGTTGTGCACCAGGAGGAACCCAGGACCCACTGCACCAACGTAGGGTCTGACAATGGGTCCAAGGATTTCATCCCGATACCTAATGGCAGTCAGGGTGCCATTGTCTAGCCTGCAGAGGTCTGTGTGTCCCTCCATGGATATGCCTCCCCAGACCATCACTGACCCACCACCAAAATGGTCATGCTGCACAATGTTACAGGCAGCATACCATTCTCCACGGCTTCTCCAGACCCTTTCATGTCTGTCACATGTGCTCTGGTGAACCTGCTCATCTGTGAAAAGCATAGGGTGCCAGTGGCAAACCTGCCAATTCTGGTGTTTAATGGCAAATGCCAATCAAGCTATATGGTGCATTGCAGTGAGCACAGGGCCCACTAGAAGACGTCGGCCCTTCAGGCCATCCTCATGAACTCCAGTGGCTTGCTGTAGGTCATTTTGTAGGGCTCTGGCAGTGCTTATCCTGTTCCTCCTTGCACAAAGGAGCAGATACCGGTCCTGTTGATGGGTTAAGGACTTTCTATAGCCCTGTCCAGCTCTCCTAGAGTGACTTCCTATCACCTGGAATCTCCTCCATGCTCTTTGAGACTGTGCTGGGAGACACAGCAGACCTTCTGGCAATGGCACGTACTGATGTGCCATCCTTGAGGAGTTGGACTGCCTGTGCAACCTCTGTAGGGTCCAGGTATTGCCTCATGCTACCAGTAGTGACACTGACCCTAGCCACATGCAAAAACTAGTGAAAAACAGTCAGAAAAGTTAGTAGGGAAAAAATGTCAGTGGCCTCCAACTATTTTGGGGATTGTCTCATGGTTGCTCATCTAGTGCACCCTGTTGTTAATTTACACTAAGCAGCAGAAACTGATTAACAACCCCTTGTGCTACTTAACTGACCAGATCAATATCCCAGGAGTTTAACTGACTTGATGCTATACGCTGATTAAAAAGTGCTCTTTTAATTTTTTTGAGCAGTGTAGTAAATTGTAAAAAGAGAAAGAGAGAGAGAGAAAAAAAAAAAAGACTGTATAAATGCTTTTGGTTATCTCACCATTTCTGAATTTGATCCATTATGTAGTTTCATGGCTTTTTCTTGCACATTTCCAATAACAGCATCTGCACACAGCGCCAGGGAGATGAGCATCACACCTTAAAATGATAAAAGCACAATTAAAAATAATTTACATCTGCTCACACTGAAGCCCATAACTATTCAACACTAGATGAGGTAGGACTATAGAAACAGCACTTATGCCATCAATCCCTCAATGTAAACAGACTCTAGGCTACATCTGAAAATATCCCTACTAGAGAATCCGGTAAATACCTAGAATTGCTTATTCTGTTCTAATGTCATTAAGCAGTTATCCACCTAACCTTTAGTGAACAAAGGTAATTAATGCTTACACCGATCAGCCATAAGTTTATGACCACCCACCTAACATTGAGTAGGTCCCCCTTTAGCTGCCAAAACAATCCTGACCCATCAAGGTACGAATGTGACTACACCTCTGAAGGTAAGCCGTGGTGTCTGGCACCAAACCATTAGTATCAGATCTTTTAGGTCCTGTAAATTGTGAGATGGGACCTCATTGGATGCACCCACACTCAACCATCCACATGATGTAAAGGAAAACATGATTTATTAGACCAGGCTGCCTTCTTCCATTATTCCGTGGTCTGGTTCTGATGCTCATGTGCCCACTGTAAGCACTATTGGTTGTGGACACGGATGGGTCAACATGGGCACCCTGACCAGTCTACGCAGCCCTGTAGACATCAAACTGTGATGCCTATTTTTTTCTGCTTTCAACAAATCAACTTCATGGACAACATATTTACTTGCTGCCTACTACATCCACCAACATTCAGATGCCATTGTAATTAGATAATCAATGTTATCCTATTTAACCTGTCAGTGGTCATAAGTTATGGCTGATTGGTGTAGATGCACATATGAAATTTAAACAGCATGCATTAGTTAACGTAACAATAACGAATTTGCATATCTAAATAACTTTTCAACGTTTTAAAGTTCAAATAAAGCTTTTATAGTGGTAGTCTTAATTAAAACTCCACTTCATTTTTTATTTTAGGCTGAAAAATGTGCAAAAAAAGTTTATATTTTGGAAGTTTTTAATATGGTTATTGTATCTCATGCTAACAGTATTAAAAAGATGAACATTGCCACTTTTGGGCTGCAGTGGCATCTGAAGTACCACCTGCAGGTTTATTTTGTAAATGGGCACAGTCATAGAGGACAGTGATCACATGTTTGGGAACCATTCAGGTTCCCCAATGTCAGTGGGGATGAGACCGTCAGCAAAAGCCACCACCTGCGCAGTGGACAGCTGATTGCTCTCAAATTAGAGCTTTTGTTACTAGTAGATACATATTAAATAATAAAAATAAAAGGAAACAATTACATTACTTCAGCTAAAAGATGTCAATTACTGATTTCTCCTGGGCACCAAATATCCTAATTTTACGGTCTCAGGCTAGGAGTAAGCTAGGTGCCTCACTGACCAACAGCCAAGCATGTGCTTGGCTTTGATGTGCTTCAAGCACTACCCAATACATGAAAGGTCTGAAAAAATCTGCACCTTGCTTTAAAACTCCACAAAGAGAGGTAATTAACCTTCAACAACTATTTTAGCAGATAGTCTCTTTAATTCACCTTTTTCAAAGTCCAACCAAAACATCCCAATTCTGCGCAGCTAGTTTTAAAAAAGAAAAACAAAAATTGCTCTACCTCAAGGCATGGCTAAAATCTTAAAGCCTAAGGCTACTTTCAAAATTTTTGAAGTGTTTTTGCATTAAAAAAGCGCCCGAAAAGCTCAAGTAAAATGCTTCCCTATGTATGTGAATGTATATCTATGTACCGTATGTTTTCCCACTCAGGTGTTGTGCTTGTGGCATGGTGTAAAAACACCTACTTGCAGCATCTTTGGGGCATGTTTGGTGAGTTACAAAAAAAAGCCCCAGAAACACCTCTTCCCATTGAAATCAATGAAAAAAGCGCCTCAAAAATGCCTCTGGGAAGCATTTTTGGAGCAGTTTTTAAGTCGTGTTCTTTAAAAAACGCTTAGAAAGCACGGCAAAAACGCCTATGCATTTTTGCTGCGGATCAGTGTGAAAGTAGCCCAAGAATAACTGAAATTAAAAACAGAAAAATCAGCAAATGTGACACACTGACACTGACACACACACAAACACCACAAAAAAGTACCTGCGCCAATCATCCCCCCAGTGCATACGCCGTGGAGCTGCCTTTCTATAGTGATATCTACAACCGCTATTTTTGTGTTAAACAAACATACCAGGAAGTTTCAGTTATAGCATGTGAAATAAAAATTAAAATAAAAGTCCGCTGCACCAAATCTTCCAATTCTTGGTGTTTTCAAAAAAAAACAAACAATCTCGTGTCTGTGCCATCGATCTCCAACACCACCGTGAGAAAAACACACACTCACCAACACTCCAGTGACCATTATATTGCTAAAGATCAGAAAGCACTTTTGGGTATTTTATAATTCTTCCACCATAATGGTCTTGTTCATTCATCCGCTTTGCTAATATGTAGAACCACCTCTCCATAAGAATGGACCATGTCAACCAAAAAAAAAAAAAAAAAAACAGAAAAGGACTAACAGTGTAGTATATTTATTTTCATAAAACTATATATCGGTATAAAATACTGCACTCACAACAGGACAGGCACAGTTGTAAACAGCCTGGATGAGTCTTGTGATCCCTCCCAGGACCTGCATGTATTCCACCGGCTGGAAAGAAGGAAAACCGGAAGTGACGTCACGAGGATATGGCGACTCTCAATGGCCTCAAACTAGTTTAGTTGGATTGCGCCTTCAGGAAGCCATAGAACCGCCATTTTCATGACACTTTTTATACGACCCACTCCCTCCTGACTCATCCAAACTGTTTACAACTGTGCTATTCATATGGAGAGGTGGTTCTACATATGAGCAAGGTGGATGAATGAACAAGACCATTATGATTGAAGGAGTATAAAATACCCAAATGCACTTTAGTTTATTATGTTATGCTATAATTTGTGGTGGTGCCTGGTTTTTTTTTTTTTAACAGCAAATGGGACACAAAAACTTAAGTCAGTAGGACGTGTGCCTTGTGACGACTCCTCTGCCTTAATGTGAAACCTTACTCCGTGTCCCCCCCCCCCCAACTGCGGTAATCTTTCAGTGTGGCAAGGGTTAATACAACTAAGGCGATGTCACAAAACACAGGAAGATTTCAATTAAAAGAAGAGGAACCAGCACAAGGGACACATCTCATTTACTTTAAGTTATGCACCTTGTGCTGATTTTTCTATTTTTAATTTTAGCTACACTTAGGCTTTAGGTGGTTGTAAAGGGTGCAGCTTCCCCTGCAGCCCCCTAATACTTACTTGAGCCCAATCTCAATCCAGCGATGTGCATTAGAGCAGCAACTCTCTTGAGAGTCTCTCTCCTCATTGGCTGAGACACTGCAGAGGGAGCCATTGGCTCCCGCTGCTGTTAATCACAGCCAGTGAGGAAGGAGTGGGAAGGGGATGGCGGGACTGAACCATGCTCTGTGTGTCCCACAGACACAGAGAGGCGACTCGGGAGCCAGAATGCACAAGTGCCCTTAGAGCATGCAGCTTGCTATGGGGGCACGCTGCAAGGGGGAGAAGCCACAACCACCAACAGGGGACCCAAGAAGATTGTAGCTTTTGCACAGAACAGGTAAGTATGACATGTTATTTTAAAGACAAAAAAAAAAGCATTTCGAACCACTTTAAATGCAGTAAATGCTAATTGATGGCATTGCAAGTTGAAACATTACATTTATGAGACATAATTTGCAGGCCTAAATACATAACCTTGTCTACATTTCAGCATAGAATAAATAACAGAAGCCCGCAACCAACAGGGGTTTATGATAAGAATATTTGTATGAGACAGCAGAAGAGTATGCTTTGTTTATACTAGCTGAACAGTTCAGCTTCCTTTAGGCAAAAATGTCATCTGAATAGATTTGTCCCTCACAATGTTCAAAGGAATCTGATTAAATTATGTAAGTAGAGCTTCAGCTGAAATCAGACTAGTTTATGTATCAATGTTTCTGAGAAATTTATGAGTAAAAGTCAAGTGAAGTCAATTTGGCATTTAGTAACTAGCATCCAAACTACTCCCCTAAGGCAACTGCATCCTTAAGAATTTTTCATTTGAAAGTTAATATAAAATAGAGAAAGTAGCATGTTTTCTGAAAGCCTCAATGCCTCCAAGACTTTTGCTGGTTTATGCATTTACCCATGCATATGCTAGTGTCAATACTCATTTAACATATGTTACCTAATACACCGCCTTTGCAAAGAATAATATGTGGTAATAAACTGTACAATGTAGCTTTGCAGCTCTTTTTTCCCTTTCATTGTCTCTATCACTCTGCTTAGTACACAAAGAAATACATTATTTCGATTAACATTTCTACTACAAAAGCAGCAAAAATGTTATGTTAGCATATCAGACAGTGGGTAGCACAAATTTGGGGTAAAAATCCATTTTGAGGGTCCCTTGATTTAAACTGTTTTATCAGGAAACACATTTTGTCAGCTGTCAAAATAGAAACATTTTTACTCCCATGGCACATTGACAGTTGGGGCCTAAAGAAAGATTGGATTGAAGGGGGCCCTAATAAATTGAGATTTACATAAAAAAAAATCTTCCTCAGTACAATACTTTACATTAACCACTTGACCCCTGGAAGATTTTACCCCCTTCATGAGCAGAGCATTTTTTTGCTTTTCAGCACTGCACTGCTTTAACTGCCAATTGTTCGGTCATTCAACACTGTAGCCAAATGAAATTTAGATCTTTTTTTCATACAAAAATAGACCTTTCCTTTAGTGGCATTTGATCACTACTTAGTTTTTTATTATATATAAAAAAAAAAGAACATTTTGAAAAAAAAACAAAAAACAATATTTTCTACTTTGTTATAAAACATTTAATAAAAAATAAAAATACAAATCTCATTTCATCATAAAATTTAGGCCAAAATGTATTCTGCTGTATCTCTTTGGTAGAATAAAAAGATACCAATAAATGTATATTAATTGGTTTGTGCAAAAGTTATAGTGTCTACAAACT